CCTCCTCCTCCTCCTCCTCCTGCTCCTCCTCCTGCTCCTCGTCCTCCTCCTCCCCCTCCTCCTCCTCCTTCTCCTCCTCTTCTTCCTCCTCCTCCGTCTCCTTATACAAACAAACTTCTCCCTGCCGCACCCCGAGGCCAATTTTTAGGGCGGGCCGGGCGTTTCGCCTGAGACTTACTGACCATACATGACCCAGAAGCTTAAACAGTGACAACAGTCTCACAGATGGAGGGCGGGCCGTTTTTTTCATTGCTCTCGCCTTGGCGCCGCGCACTTTCGTTCTAAAGATTTGCAAGAGTTTCGCTGATTGAGGGCGGGTGGCTTTCAACATGTGGTTCTCGCCATAGTGCCGCGCAGATTCGTCATACCACTTGCAAGGATTGCACGGATTGAGGGCGGTTCCTTTTCAAATGTGACTCTCGCCTTGGCGCCGCGCACATGTCTAACACATAGCAAGAATTTCACGGATTGAGGGCGGTTCCTTTTTCAACATGTGGCTCTCTCCTTAGCGCCGCGCACATTCGTTTCAAACATTTGCAAGAGTTTCGCGGTTTCAAGGGCGGCTCCTTTTCAAAATGTGGATCTGGCCTGAGCGCCGCGCACAATCCTTCAGAACATGTTTAAGTGCCACGGGTTCCCACGATCGACGTACCAATGATGTTTTCTGGAAGGATTCAGGAATATGCGGGTGCAGCAGTTATGTTGATTCGCGGTGTTGGAATCCCCAAAATTGCGTTCTGGCGCGATTCTGGATGGTCAAGACGCAGCAATCAGGTTGATCCGTGACGTTGAAACACCGAGAACAACGTTTTGGCATGCTTCAGGGTCTTCAAGGGTATCTTCCAACAAGGCAGTTCTCTCAATGGCAATGAACCGGTGTGGGGGCTTAGGAAGAGGGAGCTTGGAGGGAGGGTTCATTCCAACATCGTTGATGACTCTTTGGTTTACACTGGTCCTCCTCCTCCTCCTCCTCCTGCTCCTGCTCCTTCTGCTTCTCCTGCCCTCCTGTCCCTCCTGCTTCTCCTGCTCCTCCTGCTCCTCCTCCGCCTCCTCCTCCTCCTGCTCCTCCTCCTCCTCCTGCTCCGCCTGCGCCTCCCTCTCCTCCTCCTCCTGCTCCTCCTCCTCCTCCTGCTCCTCCTCGTCCTCCTCCTCCTCCTCGTCCTCGTCCTCGTCCTCGTCCTCGTCCTCCTCCTCCTTCTCCTCCTCCTCCTCCTCCTCCTCCTCCTCCTCCTCCTCCTCCTCCTCCTCCCCCCACTCCCTCCCTGCCTCACTCCTTCCCTCCCCCCACGGCCTGGGTGGGTCCCCACCCCCGTCACGCAAGGCGACCCGCCGGGCATTGGAATCGAGGTCCTGGGTCCCGCCTCAGCCACCGCCTGGGCCAGGTCCGTTTACGGCCAGGCCCGGCGGCACTCAAGACCTGGCCTCCCTGGCACTGCTGCCGTTGGCACTCCAGCTGCTGCTGATACGAGTGCGAGTGCAGATGCAGAAACATGCAGATACCTTCGTCGTCCTCCTCGTTGCATTGACAGAACAATCAACTGGCATTACTATGACTACGTCTTCCACTACTGTCACCATAACGCGCACTACAGACATAACTTCTGGCTAGCACAACAACAACAACAACCAATACTCCTATAGCACTACTACGGCTGCCACTCATACTCAGACCAATACCGCTACTGCTACTCCATGTGCAGCAACTGCCTCTGCCAATACTACTGTTCCTGCTGCATCTATTGTTACTGGTATCAACATCGTTAGCGCCGCCAAATTCCACCTCCCCGTCCGCTTCGGCGACGACTGCATCCACCAGCGCCCCGCCGCCGACGTTCTTCTCGATCGGCGTTCCGACCACCAGGGGTGTCTGGCGGCCCCTGGCCAGGGTCAGAATGACGCGTGACGTGGTGCCTGGGGCGGTCGTCGTGCCGAGCTGTGGCACCCGGGGCCTGGCGCCCAGAGTGAAGCGCCCGCTGGCGCGCCTTCTGCTCACCGCCGACATGCCACGCTGCCCCTGCGCGTGTCCCGGCCTAGGCCAGACAGCGCGGCACACTGCTAGTGCTACTGCTACTGCTGCGAATGCTGCTGCTACTGCCACTACTACCACTACTACGACTCCTGCTGATATCGCTGGTGCTGCTACTTCTCTGGCTACGACTACGGCGTCTACTCGCAATACAGCAGCAACGCCACTACTACCATTGCCAATGCCGCTGCCATTTTGGCGTTGTCGCTTTCGCCGCCGCCGTCGCCGTCTGCGTCGCCTTTGTCGTCGTCGTCGCCATCGCTGGCGCCATCGCTGTCGTCGTCGCCGTCGTTGCCGTCGCCGTCGCCGCCGCCGTCGTCGTTGCCGTCGCCATCGCCGACGTCACCGCCGGCGCCGCCGTCGTCGTCGTCGTCGTCGTCGTCGCCACCCTCCGTTTTGGACGGCCGAGGTGGGTACGGACAAGCATGCCCAAACAGCAGCTGTTGTTCAAAACCGACAGGCGGCCGCTGTTAAGAAGGCGGTCTTCTGTCTGGAATGGACAACTCCGCGGCGACACCGACAACGAATCCTGTTCAAAATGATGAGGAACTGCTGTCGGTCTTCTTGAGCAGGGACCGGCCGTCCCGGCATTTTTGTAGGCAAACCACGACATGTTCTTAGAACACCAGAATGTTCGAATAACGCAAACAATCTTCTTAGAACACACGCCCGGTGTGCTCAAGCAAAACAGTCTCAGCCAGAAATGTTCTAAGAACATTTCGTGCAGACCACAAACGATGATTTGCACATTCTTTCGTGGGCCTATAAGCAAGCGGGGGACGCTTCGCCACTGCTCGATTTCGGTCGGACCCATCCGTCCACTGAGGGCCTCCTCGGGGTCTGGCAGCAGCGCGTAGCTCAGCGCCTGGTCGCCGGCCAGGTAGACGCCCTGCCCGCGCGAGCGCGCTCTGGGATCGCGGGGAGAGGGGGCGGGGGCCAGGGGCGGAGGGGAGGAGGAGGGGAGGAATTGGAGGACGACGAGGAGGGGGAAGAGGTGGAGGAGGGGGGGAGGAGGAGGAGGAGGAGGAGGGAGGAGGAGGAGGGGAGGAGGAGGAGGAGGAGGAGGAGGAGCAGGAGGAGGAGGAGGAGGAGGGGAGTAGAAGGAGGAGGAGGAGGAGAAGGAGGAGGAGGAGGAGGAGGAGGGAAGGAGGAGGAGGAAGAGGAGGAGGAAGAGGAGGGAGGAAAGGGGAGGTGGTCCAAACCTCCCGCGCCGTGCTTTTTGTATTATTTAAGAATATTCGCTCTGGTGTTCCAACTTCATGCCTGGAACTTCTGCAAGGACCCCCCGCATCTAGTCTGCCCCCACACGACCAGATATTCCAACGGCTATGCTGTATTTCAATGGAGTCCTATGGCGTCCAATGTGCCCCATGGGTTATCCAACGAATACATGTTGAATCAAACCATGTAGTATGAATTCACACCAGCGGGCGCCTGTGTAGTTGAAAACCATTACCCGGTGCGGTCCTGCAGAACACTTCCAGGTCCAGTTGGACTGCTATGCGTCAAAACGTTTCCTGTACTATGATTTCCCGAGTGAAGCCCGAGCTGGCCCTGCGGACCATTACTACTTGCGCATTGCTTCGTTTGTGGGACGTCCTTCGCCCATGGTGTTTTCACACGCATGCGCCATCCACTCAAGGAAGAAGACAGGATAGGTGGTCAAGACGGCACCGCCGCCAGAAACCATCCATACGTATATAAGCATCCTTTGGGCGGAACGCGAGAAACGCGAAACTAATTTTCTGGCCGGGGGCCTACGCACGGTCGCGCCTACAACGCTTGTTGATCGCATGACACTACGCAATCGTCGCTGCGGGGAGGTTTTCGCCACATCTGCGAAAACTGTTGTAGACTGCGCCCGCTAAGTTACACTTCGCACAACGTCTATTTAGGGCCCGCGCCGGTGTCATACTATGTTCGTATGTTTCCCTTCTGCTGGCAGGCCACGCCTTTTCTGTCGCCCTTTGCCTCCTCTCTGTGAATCACTTGTCCATGGCGTCAAGACGGCGCCGAGACTCCTGGCGATGCAGGAGGCGGCGTGGCAGGACGAGGCAAGACGGCCCCCAAACAGCCCTCGAATTTCCAAAGACGGTGGAAGAAGGCTTCGACCAAAAAATGCAAAAAGCACTGAGCAAATTAAATGCTGACTGTTTGGCCTCCTGTAATTTTTGAGCCGAGGTTGGCCCAAAATGGGTCGAGATGGCCTCAGATGGCTCAAACGTGGCCCAAAGACGACCCAACACTGGGTAATGGCACAAGGCGGCCCAGAAAGGACAACCGAAGGCCCGAGATCCCCCAAGACAGGTCCAAGATTTAGTGCAAGACCACTCGCGAGAGCCCAAGGTGGACAAAACGGATCCCAAAACGGCCCCCCCAAACCCCGAGAGAACATCAAACCCCTTAAACATCCAAACCAACGCAAAACAACTAATTATCCTGGCGAAGGACCCAACCATATGCAATTGTGAGTACCGCAATTGTGAATATCTTCTTCGGTGGCGCTCCCTATGGGGCCACGAAACGTGTGAGGGGTGTGCCGAAATGGGTGTGCGGGACGCATGGGGACGGACGGCCTATGGGGACATTGTGGGCCTTCGGTGGAGCTCCTATGGGGCCACAAGGACGTTGTTGAGGGGTGTTGCCGAAAATGGGTGTGCGGGACGCATGCGGGCGCACACCACTGGACCTTCGGTGGAGCTCCCTATGGGGCCACGAACGGGTGTGGAGGGTGTGCCGAAAAATGGGTGTGCGGGACGCATTGCGGGCACACCCAACTGGGACCTTTGGTGGAGCTCCCATGGGGCACGAGAGTTGACGGGTGCTGCCTGGGCGGGACGCATGCGGGCACACCAACCTCGGTGGAGCTCCTTATGGGGCCACGACGTGTGTAGGGGTGTGCGAAATGGGTGTGCGGGACGCATGCGGGCACACCCACTGGGACCTTCGGTGGAGCTCCCTATGGGGCCACGAAACGTGTGAGGGGTGTGCCGAAATGGGTGTGCGGGAAGCATGCGGGCACACCCACTGGGCCTTCGGTGGAGCTCCCTATGGGGCCACGAAACGTGTGAAGGGTGTGCCTCCCTGGGGAAGCATGCGGGCACAACCATGGGACCTTCGGTGGAGCTCCTAAGCGTGTGAGGGGGTTGACGAAAAATGGGTTGTGCGGGACGGCATGCGGGCAACACACTTGGGACATTCGGTGAGCCCCTATAGGGCCCAGAAAATTATGTGAGGGGTTGGCCGAAATGAGTGTGCGGGGCGCATGCGGGCACACCCACTGGGACCTCTGGTGGAGCTCCCTATGGGCCACGAAGCGTGTGAAGGGTGTGCCGAGATGGGTGTGCGGGACGCATGCGGGCGGCAGCACTGGGGCCTTCGGTGGAGCTCCGTATGGGGCCACGAAACGCGTGAGGGGTGTGCCGAAATGTGCGTGCGGGACGCATGCGGGCGACAACACTGGAGCCTTCGGTGGAGCTCCCTATGGGGCCACGAAACGCGTGAGGGGTGTGCCGAATTGAGTGTGCGTGACGCGTGCGGGCGGCAGCATTGGGGCCTTCGGTGGAGCTCCCTATGGGGCCACGAAGCGCGTGAGGGGTGTGCCGAATTGAGTGTGCGTGACACATGCGGGAGGCAGCACTGAGTTCGGTGGAGCTCCCTATGAGGCCACGAAGTGTCAGGCGTGTGCCGAACTGAGTGTGCGGGGCGCATGCGGGCGGCATCACTGGGGCCTTCGGTGGAGCTCCCTATGGGGCCACGAAGCGCGTGAGGGGTGTGCCGAATTGGGTGTGCGGGACGCATGCGGGCGGCAGCACTGAGGCCTTCGGTGGAGCTCCCTATGGGGCCACGAAGCGCGTGAGGGGTGTGCCGAAATGAGTGTGCGGGACGCATGCGGGCGGCAGCACTGGAGCCTTCGGTGGAGCTCCCTATGGGGCCACGCAACGCGTGAGGGGTGTGCCGAATTGAGTGTGCGTGACGCATTCGGGCGGCAGCACTGGGGCCTTCGGTGGAGCTCCCTATGGGGCCACGAAACGCGTGAGGGGTGTGCCGAAATGGGTGTGCGGGACGCATGCGGGCACACCCACTGGGACCTCTGGTGGAGCTCCCGATGGGGCCACGAAACGTGTGAGGGGTGTGCCGAAATGAGTGTGCGGGACGCATGCGGGCGGCAGCACTGGGGCCTTCGGTTGAGCTCCCCATGGGGCCACGAAGCGCGTGAGGGGTGTGCCGAATTGAGTGTGCGGGACGCATGCGGGCGGCAGCACTGGGGCCTTCGGTGGAGCTCCCTATGGGGCCACGAAACGCGTGAGGGGTGTGCCGAACTGGGTGTCGATGATGATGATGATGATGATGATGATGATGATGAGATGATGATGATGATGATGATGATGATGATGATGATGATGATGATGATGATGATGATGATGATGATGATGATGATGATGATGATGATGATGATGATGGGATGACGCTGACGCTGATGGGATGATGACGGCCATGATGATGCTGATGATGATGATGATGATGATGATGGCGATGACGATGACGATGATGATGACGATGGTGATGATGATGATGATGATGATGATGATGATGATGATGATGACGATGACGATGATGAAGATGAAGATGGGAGGAGGGAGGGGGCAACGGGAAGGAACGCGGGGCGACGTCTCTTCAAAACGAGGACCCAACACCACAGGATGGTTGGGAAAAAACCGGAGCAATACACATACCCACGCAAGCGTGTTGACGCGAATCGTCGTGCATCCACAGCCAGACTGCGACAGCAAGCCAGGGGCCAAATCTCAGGCAAAGCCTCTGCCAACGAACCGCGCAGCATTATGCAAAGTACGATAGCGCTGCATTATCTAAACCATGCATAAATTGAGGATGCCACCTCAAGCCACCACCCGCTGCCGAAAACGCCACATCAATCGGCCAGTGGCCGAAGACGGTGTAGAGACGATCCAGAAAGACACTGGGAGGGCCAAGCTGGCGCCAACATCGGCCTCGACTCTGAGACGTTCTCCGACGCCTTCTGGGCATCTTTCCCGAAGCCTTCTGTGGGACGCAACGACATGAGCTTCTAGCAGGCTCTCACGTCGAAAGATCCACGGAGGCATGTCTGGTTGACTCCTGGGTCTGCTCAGGCTGATTCCTAGCTTCGGTTTGACGCCCACCCCTTTTTGTTCCACTGTTTGCTTCTACCTTTTCCCTGATCGAAGCAACTCGCCTAGGGATCGTTTCCGGATTGGCTGGCGGGGATGCGCGAAGCGTCAAGAATTCCCAATGGCCATCAACCAGACGACCTGAGAGGAATCCGACATTTCTCAAAAGAGCTTCAAACCGCCACCCAGGAGGGCCGAACTAATTCCCATAACTACATGTGTTCCCGGTGGCTTTTGACAATACACACATATCGGTTTCCCCTTTCTGGGCGGGCCCCAACACAGCCAAGGAGACCTCGTCGGCTCTACGCAGAGTCCCAAGAGGGCCCAAGACTGCCCTGAGAGGCCCCCAAGTCGGCCTCCGAAAACGTCAGGCGGGCCAATCGCGCCCTAAGACGGCCCAACAGGGCCCCACTATGCCCGAAGAGACACCAACGAATCTCTGAGGAGGCCCCAGGAGGCGCCCAAAGGGTTCCAAACTGCCTCCTTGTTCTCCATCGTTCTTCCACACACACACACATATACGTGTATATATATACACATATATGTATATACCACTCCTCCCTGTCGTACCATCAGACGTGTCGCTTGGACGGGCGAGGCGTTTCGCAGGACACTTTTTCACATCTTATGCTCTCGACATTGCACATTTTCCAAGACACCGACAACACAGCGTCTATTCAAAACACAAAACTAAGGCTCTTGCCAAGGTGCCGCG